GCAAAAACTGAAGGCTCTGGCTCTGAGGTAATTCTTCAAGGAGTACACCTGTCCTGAGGCATCTGAAAGACACTTATCTGAAAGTTTCTGCTCAGCCCATTGTCAGGGACTCTAGGAGTCTACTTCATTAGCCCTGGCTTGCCCACCTGCATTAATTAATGCCTTGGGAATCACATCAACCCTTGGGGCCCTTGAAGAAGTATCCAACGGTTTTTCTGGTTCTTAATAACCCAACAAAAAGATATGCAATCCTCTCATTCCTCTACTTCATACCTAGGGTACTTCACGCAGCTGGAGCACTGTTGGCACTGGAGCGTGTCTCCTTTTTGTTTTATTTATTTAGTTGGGTTTTTTCTTTCTCTCTTTTTTTATGGGGGGTGGGGTGGGGGTGGTGGACAGGGACGTGCTTATTTGTTGTTCTTTTTTATTTTTTTTTTAAACTGATGTCATTTATCCTTGGAAATATGAGCTTAGGTGTAGAACTTTCACGCTTTGCTGCACTTTACCCATTGGACTGTAATTCCACAGGCAAGTAAGGTCACACTTAGCTTCCTAAGTTCCTAAATTATATAAAGGAAAGGTTCACATTTCTTCCTTAAGTGCTGAGATGAATCATAGAATAGTTTGGGTTGGAAGGGACATTTAAAAGTCAATAGTCTAGTCCAATTCTCCTGCAGTGAGCAGGGACATCTTCAACCAGATCAGGTTGCTCCATCCAACCTGACCTTGATTGTTTCCAGGGATGGGGCATCTACCACCACTCTGGACAACCTGTTTCAGTGTTTCACCACTCTCATTGTAAAAAATATCTTCCTTATATCTGGTCTGAATCTACCTTCTTTTAGTTTAAAACGATTACCCCTTGTGCTATTGCTAAAGCCCCTGCTATAACTTTGTCCCCATCATTCTTGTAGGCCCCCTTTAAGGATTAAAAGGCTGCAAAAATGTCTCCCCAGGGCCTTCCCTTCTCCAAGCTGAACAACCCCAACTCTCTCAGCCTTTCTTCATAGGAGAGGTGTTCCATCCCCTTGACCGTTTTTGTGACCCTCCTCTGGACCCTCTCCAACAGGTCCATGTCTTTCTTGCATTGAGTTGAAATGAAGTTGAAATGCTTTTGGAAGAGCTATTCAGCTTGTCTGAAAAGTGTGCAGGGAAAATGTAAAGATCTTTAGAACAGCATTTCTGCTATAATTCTGCTCGAAGACTGGGATATTTCTGGAATGTATACGAAACCAAGCGTATTCTCTTCATATGTCTAAATAAGGAAAATGGAACTATGTTATAGTAATTTTAATTTTCATTCAGGCCCAGTTTGGAACTTTATCAGATTACTTTGAAGCTCTGCGGAAAAAAAGCAATTTGGGTGAAAAGAGCAGCAACTCATTTTTCCCCATTTTAAGTGGAGACTTCTTCACCTATGCAGACAGGGATCATCATTACTGGAGTGGATACTTTACATCACGACCCTTCTATAAACGGCTGGATAGAGTCCTGGAATCCTACTTACGGTAAATACTGCTATCCAGTAAATTCATAACATATGTTTTGGCACACAGGAGAGATGAATGTGTAAGTACTCTAAATCTGTTGGGCAGATGGAAAAGTGATTTTAAAATGCACAATTTAAGTTACTTACAATAAGGATAGCCTAAATGGCCCCCATATTTAATTCATTTTACAAGGATTAGTTGTTGTATCTGGGTTTTTTTAATAAACTCATAGAAATACAATGATTCTTTTACCATCCAAACAAATAAATTGTTCTGAAATACTATTCAAGTGCAAGTCCTGATTCCATAAAAAATAGCAGGTATTATGCTTTTTAACTTCTGTATTGGATTTGGGTAACTGTCAGATTAATCTGTCATTATGGCTATATTGTGAATTCTTATAGAGAGAAATAAAAAGGTGCAAATTTTACAAGGGTTCTTAGAGGCTGTTGAGAACTAGTCAGGAAGACTGTGCTGGGTGATCTCAGATTGTAAGGTACTACTCTGCTGAAGAGTTTGCATCTTTAGAAAAAGTTATTGCTGAATTTTGGTAATGGAGTATTTAAGTTGTTCTCCCTTTCAGCAGCTGTAGATAAGACACATTGTAAACAATTTAACTGTATTTTAAGGCTCCAGAAAGAAGTTTGGGACAGGTGCCTATGATATAAACCTTGGACGTTTCATCCGTTGCCAAAACTTGGAAACACTGTTTCCAAAGATTATTCTTCCAAGGATCCTTAGTCAAAGGGCACTTTCTGTCTTATGGAAGAACCCTTTAAAATAAACCTGTTGTAGTGCTTCTGTATGCTGTGCAGACCTTTTTGTGCTAGAGAAGAACTTTTGTAATGCTGAGAAATTCTTCCTTAAGGATTTCTTACAAATTTTTTTTGTGTTATAATGGCTCCTGCAATAGCGTAGGGAGCAAAAGTGGTGTGGAAAGTAACATTTTGGGAGCATGAAAAGTAGCATTTTGAAGGCAAATACAAGTACCTTGCAGAATAGAAACCTCTGTATCTAGCAGAATTTCTTTTCCTTCTTCCAAGGAATCAATTATTTACTCTGGTAAAATGGAGGCTTTGCAAACTTGGGACACAGCTACTCCAAGATCTGTAGTATGTTTTTCTTGTAATGAAAGCATCTTTTTAAAGCCTTCAGAGTATAAGAGCTGAGGAAATTAAAAAAAAAAAAAAAATAGTGAAGAAGAAATGAAAGCAATAGAAAGACTTAAGAAATGTGTAAAGAGAAGTGAGATCAAGGGCCTGAGAATAGAAAGGTGCTAGGGAAGAGAAAATGTAACGTAACTTTTAAGGCATTGCATTGACCAGCCAGGAGAAAAGTTTCACAAGTGGGAAAGCAGGGAGGAAAGAAGCCAAAGACTGTCAGGAAGGAGAAGAAAAATAAGACCAAAGCTGAGAGGAATGACAAAAAGCAAGGCTAGAATCCCATTGGCAGAAGAAAGTAAAAATAATGAGAAGTTATCAGAACAGTGACTTCTGCAGTGTTTTAATGAGAACTTTGGAATGTTACAAGTGGTATGATTAACTTCTGTACAAAACCAAGAATGTTAGAAGATCACAAAGAGGGCGTTTGTAAGGCTAACAGTAATTGGGAAGTTTGACAACTATTCAGAAATAATTTACAAATAGAGTATCAAGCATCACTAGAAATATGATTTTTTTAGGAAGATTGTATTTTTTACTTGCTGTACAGACATTATAAATACTAGCTAGCTGTTCTCATTAGCTTGTTTATCATAAGTGTCTTTGATTTCCAGTGAAACAGTCTTGTTTAATCCTGCCATTGGAAAAGACAAAATATATAGAAAACAGGACAGATTATTTCCCCATAAAGTAAATTCCCTACTTAATTGTTTTTCATACTTGCCTAAATTCCTTTCTGTTTGTTAAAATGCACCAAAGATTTAATTTTCTTTTACAACTTTACACTGTTAAAAGATTCTTTCATGTAAAAATTTCAGTTACCTTTAACTTCTGAAAAAATTGCTAAACTTAGAGGTAAAGAAAAGCTGGAAGAAAACTAGACCTTCAGTCTTATGAATTAAAACAAAGCACATTTCTAAAAATGTACATGGGAAGTTTTTAATCCTTCATTATGCTCTGTGAATAACATGTAAGAACAAAATGTAGAGATGTGTGCTTGTCAATTTAATATGGCTTTTGGCAGTTTTGCTTTCAGAGACCTGGAGAATCTTCAAGGATGGCATATTAGCTGTGAGAACAACAGAATTAGGGGGGGGTTTATTTTATTTTTTATTTTCTTTAAAGTCAGGAAATATATTATGATCATATTGGTGAACTGGTGAAGTTCCCGCAGACTGGAAAAAGGGGAACATAACCCCCATTTTTAAAAAGGGTAACAAGGAAGACCCGGGGAACTACAGGCCGGTCAGTCTCACCTCAGTGCCAGGCAAGATCATGGAGCAGATCCTCCTAGAAACTATGGTAAGGCACATGGAGAACGAGAAGATGACTGATGACAACCAACATGGCTTCACTAAGGGCAAGTCATGCCTGACAAATCTGGTGACTTTTTATGATGGGGTCACAACATTGGTGGACAAGGCTAAAGCAACCAATGTCATCTACCTGGACTTGTGCAAGGCGTTTGACACCGTCCCACATGACATCCTTGTCTCCAAATTGGAAGCATGCGGGTTTGATGGCTGGACCACTCGGTGGATAAGGAACTGGCTGGATGGCCGCACTCAAAGAGTTGTGGTCAACACCTCAAAGTCCGAGTGGAGGCCGGTGACGAGTGGTGTCCAAACCATTCTATGATTCTATGATTTAATTAATAACACGCTCACACCTTGTGATTAAATTTTCTGTAGTTCTTTTTGAGCTAACTTATATGAATCTACCTAGTGTGCATATTGTGGTGGGTTGACCCTGGCTAGAGGCCAGATGGCCACCAAAGCCCACTCTATCACTCCCCCTCCTCAATTGGGCAGGGGGAGAAAATAAGATGGAACACAAGAGAAAAAAAGAAAACTTGTGGGTTGAGACAAAGGCAGTTTAATAGAAGCAAAGCAAAGCTGCGCGCGCAGAAGCAAAAGAACAAAGTATTTATTCTCCACTTCCCATCAGCAGGTGATGTTTGGCCACTTCCCAGGAAGCAGGGTTTTCATACGCATTGCGGTTCCCGGAGGACAAACGGAAGTAACGAATGCCTTCCCCTCCCACTCCTTTTCCCTTGCTTTTATTTCTGAGCATACGTCATATGGTATGGAATATCCCTTTGGTCCGTTTGGGTCAGCTGTCCTGGCTGTGTCCCCTCCCAAGACCTTCCCCACCTCCAGCCTGCTGGGGGAAATGTTGGAGAGACAGCCTTGGTGCTGTGCTAGCACTGCTCACCAGTAACCAAAATACTGGAGTATTATCAACACCCCTCGAGCCATCAATACAAAACACAGCACTCTGAGGGCTACCGCGGGGAAAATCAACTCCAGCCCAGCCAGACCCAATACACATATATATGTTTTTGTATGCATATGTGGGGGAGTGAACCATGAACAGGAGATAAATATGTATGTGTGTGTATTCTTTACTGAGGATGAATGCTTTTAAGTTCCAACAGTTCCAGGATTAAGAAGTACTTCATTGCTGCCTAATAGCCAGGAACCAGTTGTTCAACCTAAGGACCTGCTACGATGGCTGGCCATTTAAGCAAGAAAATTAATTGTTTGGGTTTTTCCTGTTTTTAAAAAAGTTTTGTGTTTGTACCTTAAAGTCCATTGAAGTTTAAGGATTTCATAATGGAGATTGACATTGTTTCTGATTTGAGACACTATTGACTTCTTAATCTTAAGTGAGAAATGGATGGATTTAAGTAGTCTGAAGGATGATGAAATCAGTGAACAGAAGGTTGTCTGATGTGATCATGGAAAAATGCAAAGAACAACAGCATAGTTAGGGGCAGTTTAGGAACGCATTCTGTGATTTCATTCTTTACAGATGTAATGAGGGAAAAATTATGGTAAGTCTGCAAAAAAGATTGTGGAAGTAATTCAGAAGCAGAACAAGAGCTGCAGTGATACTTCTAACTGTAAATATGGGTCGCATCTTAAGAGTTCACAAGGTCTTGGAAAAATTATTTATTATTTATTTAGGTTACATATAAAGTGGACCTAATGGTAACCTAGTGTAGGCTTTGAGCAATCAGAAAAGCAAATTTTGGTCTATTTGCAGTGTCCCATCAGTTGACAAATTACAACAAAGTGGATAATCTGTGGTAACTGCTTTAGATAATTTGCAGTAGTTTGAAATAGAAGTGAGAAATGTAAGGCTTCCTAAAGCTTTTATGGAAAATGCTTACTTATAAGTTGAAGTATTCTGTAATATATTGTTTCTTGTGATTTCACTTCTGAGTGTCTTTTGTCTTTGACCATTGAACTATTCTAATGTTTAGAATAATATTGAGACTTGAAAGGAAAATTTGACAAGACTGATGTACTGAATGGATCTGTAAAACAGAATTGGTTATTTTTCTGAAAGGCAAAAAGGTTCCTAGTATGCCTCATAGACAAAATGGATTTAAAGTAAAGTTCTAGAAGCAGTATGAACTGAAAATGTTATTTACTGTACAGCTTCATTTTAAGTTTTGGTTCTTTTTTTGTTTTGGTTTTTGTTTTAAGGTTATTACCATGTTTATAAATACTGGATTTCCCTATTTAAAAAAAAAAAAAAACAAACAATGAGGTGTATTGTGGGAAGGGAAATCTAAACTGTATTTTGAGGACTAAACCTTTTTGTGTTCTCTTTTCTTAGCTACAGTTGGCTCAGTGTTTAGTGGCTATGTCAAATTTTTAAGAAAAAGTAAAACACTTTCAGACAGGACTTATCCACAAGATGAATGTGCATCCAATGCCTTTTTAACTACAATATACCCGTTTTCCTTTCAACTTAAGCTGTAACAGAACAAAGTAGAAGGAATGCATAGATGCAGAAATTTGTACTAAGCAACATTAAAATCACAGCCATTAAGCTTCAGTGCGCTAGTAATAAAAAAAAGGAGTTAGAACTTTTTATCACCTTGATTTTGTGCATAGCTTGTCAACAGTTATCTTACCTGTAAGAGCAAAATCTCATCCTATTCATCAAACATTAACAATATGAGAATTAATTGAGCTGTTATTTGTACAGTGTACCTTTCAGTTTAGTTTGACACATGCTACTTGCAGTTTTTACATGATTGTCACCTATGTGATGCATGAAGACAGAGACTGAATGAACTGAATCCAAAGGTATTTTTCATGTTAACAGTTACTGTTAGTGCACAGTCTGAAAACCCAAGTTGAGAATGATTTTAAACTTTGTTGTTGTACGTAGTTTAAATTTGAGCACATGCACTCACTGGTGGCTTGGGTAAATGTAAACGTCAACATATTTTCAAAAAAAAGCTTTGAATTTAGTTTTACATTTGTTTCAAGAACATGTGCTATTTTGCTTTCTCTGATTTTTGTAGCATTAACCTGTATCTTCTTGGTTTATTCAAACACTTGAGAAACCTTTGTTAAGCTCAAATAAAGTTTGAAAGGGGATCTGACACTTTCAGACTTACAAAAACAGAACTGTAACATTTTAGGAAAAGGAGACAGGAAAAAATGTTAACAGATGGTTTCCCAGAATTTCTACAGGCATGTTGGTTAGTCAGATATTAATAATGACTGGCAATTATAAGTTTGTGTTTTTTTGTAAAATAAATCTAGAGTCTCATAAAGCAAGTGAGAAACTAATGGTGGTATTTTAGTGCTAGACTTATGCGTAAGAAATAGGTCAGATAGGCTCTTCATTCTGTTTAGTCTAAGGGGTTCTTGAATCCAGTGTTCTCACCATTCAGGTGAATGTATAGTGAGCAGGTACATGAATTAGGAGAATTTAGTGTGCTTAAAGTAGCAATGGCAGAATTGGTATTATATAGAGTGTGCAGATTAATATATTTCTTTAAGATAATTTTATTTGTTTGTGAATGTGAATTGCATGCCTCCTGTAAGGCAGTCTATCCTTACTATATTATTTTAAGATCAGATCTGTATATCTCACACATTTGTGAAAATGATATATTAATTTGTACTGTCATATTTTTATTTTAAATCTCTATTTTCAGTCACTGAAGCCTTTCAGGAAGCTTACAAGGTGTAAAACTAGTTGCTGATGAAGTGCAGCAGTGATTTTTAACTGTATGAAGGTAGAAACAGGCTAAAACGTACAAGATTAAGGTTGAAAGAACTCATGGAATTAGGCATGAGGAAAGATGTAAAAACTTGAGGTAAAATGTGTGCTGCTTTTTGCTTTTTAAACTTATATAAATATTTGATTTTTCTCTGCAATTTCAGGTCAGCTGAAATCCTCTACTCCTTGGCTTTGGTACAGTCCAGTAAATCTGAGAAGATGAGTGTATTTCCTTCTGTGGATAACTATAAATTGCTGACAGAAGCTAGGAGGAACCTTGGACTCTTTCAGCATCATGATGCTATTACAGGAACAGCTAAAGATTGGGTAGTTGTGGATTATGGCACTAGGTAATTTATTATAAATATATAAACTTAAATCTTAATTTTCCTTTGCTTTTTTAAAACAGAAGTATTTGTTTCAGAGATACAAATTTGCTATAGCTAGCAACATAGTACTGAAAGTGTGGTGGTGCTCTGCAAGAGCAGTCGATTTGAATAGCCGTGCTTGTAACTTACGAAATATTTTTTAATCCTCTGAAGTAAGATTCTGTCCAAACAAAATTTTTTAGGTTTCAAAAGAACCTAGGTTGACACAATACCAAGTGTTCATTAATAACAAGGCTATTATTTTCTTCAGTAACTATTGTATAGAACATTTTATATCTGCCCATGCAAAGCAATGATCAAGAGACATGCTAATTAAAGCATATATTCCTTGGAAAATCCAGGCTCTCTAACCTACCTTTCTTCAATGTGGAAAATCTTTTTCATGTTGCCAATCTTCTACTTAATTTCTCTGTTGTTGTTTGTTGCTGTTATATCTGTTGGGCAGTTGCTTTCTCAGTATTGAAAAATTATTCTGCTAACTGCTTTGTGGAATTTTTTTGAAGAATAGTGTATGAGATATTTATATGTATGTCTGTTTATATATATATATAATTTAATTATGCATTTGTTTAGAAAATTGTTACATATTGTAATGTTAAGCACTAGTAAATTTGATTAATTGAGGGAAATTGATGGTAGAGCATATTGTTTAAATAAGTTATTGTTTTAAATGCCTCTGAAATACTCTTTTTTTTTTAACTACTGCATTCATGACAAGTGTTTTTAAATTCCATAAATTTGTTAACTTTTTATCTATTAAAGCAAAGGTATAATCAAGGTATAAACATGTGCAATGCACTTGATTCTGAGAGAGTAAAATAAAGGGTTTTTTCACTTTACAAATAAAATTAGAGTAATAGAATCTCCTGGTTGGAAAAGACCTCTGATATCATCGAGTTCAGCCTTAGCTATCCACTAACCACCGGTTCCTCCTTTATTTATCCACTACTAAACCATATTTCTGAGCATGCCATCTACCTGTCTTTTAAACACCTCCAGGGATGGTGACTCAACCACCTCCCTAGGTAACTCATTCCAGTGCCTGATAACCCTTTCAGTGAAGACATGTTTCCTGACATCCAATCTGTACCTCCCTTGGTGCAACTTAAGGCCAATGCCTCTTGTTCTATCACTTGTTACCTGGGAAAAAAGACACACACCTGCCTCGCTGCACCCTCCTTTCATGTAGTTGTAGACAGTGATAAGGTCTTCCCTCAGCCTCCTCTTCTCCAGGCTAAACAAATCCAGTTCTCTCAGGCACTCGTCATAAGGCTTGTTCTCCAGGCCCTTCACCAGCTTTGTTGCCCTTCTCTGGACATGCTCCAGTGCCTCAACATCCTTATTGTAATGAGGGGCCCAAAACTGGACACAGTACTCGAGGTGCAGCCTCATCAGTGCCGAGTACAGGGAGAGGATCCCTTCCCTGGTCCTGCTGGCCATACTGCTTCTGATACAAGCCAGGATGCCATTGGCCTTCTTGGCCACCCGGGCACACTGCTGACTCATATTCAGTTGGCTGTCAACCAACACCCCCAGAAAAGCTGCCCTTTTCTGCTGGGCAGCTCTCCAGCCACTCCTTCCCAAGCCTGTAGCGTTGCATGGGGGTTGTTGTGACCCAAGTGCAGGACCCAGCACTTGGCCTTGTTGAACCTCATACAGTTGGTTGCCGCCCATCGATCCAGCCTGTCCAGATCCCTCTGTAGAACCTTCCTACTCTCAAGCAAATCAACACTACCACCCAGCTTGGTGTCAGCTGTGAATTTACTGAGGGTGCAGTCAATCCCTTCATCACATCGCTTCCTACACAGCTCTGTAAGAACTTGTAAACCTTGTGTCAGTTGAAGCAAGGGAAATAATGATAATAATTTAAAATTTTTGTGGTTTTGATTGTTTTTCTAATCCTACTTAAAGGCAATCTTGACTTCGTGACCAGAATTTCAGGCTTATCTCCACAATAGGTACTGGAAATAAAACATATAAACCACAAACCACATTTTGAAAAAGTACTTAGTATTTTAACTGTATACATTTTGTAGCATAGGTGGAGATGTTATCCCATTTTTAGTATGCAAGGTAGGATTATAATGGAATTGCAAATATCTCTGCATTTTGCCGTCTGATCACCCATTGCAACTAGCTGTTCTTAATTTCATGCTACATTGATTAAAATTATTTTTCTGTAACTCATACTTGTGAGTTCTTTATTTTTTAAAAATTTTGATGTTATCACATTGAATGAAACAACTGGAAACTAACTAAGACTTTAAAATTTTTAACAGGCTTTTCCATTCACTAATAAACTTGAAGAAAGTGATAACTGACTCTGCTCATATTCTTATCCTGAAGGATAAAGGTACTTATAGTTATGACACATCAACTCCATTCCTGAAGATGGTGAGCTATCTTTCTTGATTCTTCTCCAAAAATAAAATGTGGACTATGTCTTTTCAATACAGTTTGGGTGGCCTGAGAAAAGTCAGAATGAAATTTGCTCCTAATACCTGCTCAAAAATCTGCTGCTTATTACTGTTCATATTAATTGAAGATACTGGAAAGTAAAAAGTTAAAATTTCAGCAGTTAATGCTGAAAAAAACCCCACACATTTTGTTCTACTTCGTGAATCACATAGTAAAACCAGGTGTTCTGATTTTCTTCTGAACATAAATTTGTTACTTACTAAAGTGACAAGCATATGATAAGTGAATATGTAACAGTATCCAGTCCTGTAATTTTACTTCCCTATTACTATAAGAAATTATTGCTTTATTACTGCAGGTAAAGGAAAGCTTCCATTCTGAACATAAACCTGAGCTGAATTTGCAAGACCAGGTCTAGAAAAGACCTTGTGCTTTTTTCCTTAGCTGAAATTATTTGAAACGGGAAACCACTGACAATTAAGTCAGCAACAGATCTCCACATGTGATTTTGAGACCCATTTTACAGTGAACAGCACCTTGAAGAAACAGACTTGCTAATATTGTTTCTTTTCAAAATCTTAGTTTCTTCACTTGCTGAATGAAAGCTCTCTGCTGTGATATATTGGTACTCTTAGGAAACCTACCTAAGTCCATACACCTGGAATAGAGAGGAAACAAGATGCTTTAGTTTCTTTGTGCGTATAATTAAGATAGTCTTTATTATATGGTTATCTCACACTGATAACATAACTAATATGACATATATTCTGCTGCCTTGATGTGCCTAATGTGTCATACCTTGAATTACTCTTCCAGTCACATATATTTAAAAAGAAAATCATTAAAATAGTTCTTTATACATTTTATGACTTAGATACTTATCTAATATGTATGTTCATGCTGCATATATGTGCCTGTGGGTGTGTGCTATATGGGTGTGTGCCACAAATATGTCATTTTTCTCCCAGTTTCAAAGGCTAACAAAATGATATACACCTTCATAAAGCAAGAATATTTTGAAGTTGTTCATGGAATTCAGTTTTCATTTCTGGTCTGAAATATATTGGAAGATACTGTGATGTTACATTTTACTAAACTTCCATTGTTCCTGTTCTTTATGAGTCTGGATTAATACCATTGGATTGTAGAAGTATGAGTTGCTGTTTAAACTGTACATTGCCTAGGAGCATACTAAGTCTAACCCACTATTGCCACTGTGAAAGCAGAAATTAAAGTTCTTGATTTCAATGAATTTATTATATCTATATAAATCAGGAAAAAAAAGGTTATTAGAGAAGTAGGTTATGATTTATGTGTATGATATATAGTAAGTGAAACATATAATAAACTTAGTATTCCCACAGTACATTGGTTACCACAGCAAAAGGTTTTCAATGTGGGATTTGTGGAATGTTAATGGGAGAACTTCAGGATATTTACAAAAATCCTTTTGCAGACCTTGAGCAAGTAGAAAGTTCAAAGGCCCTTGTTTTGAAATACCATTATGGTATTTTAGTGTCTAATAGAAGCTGACATCAAGAATTGCTTAGAGATGGGCATTCAGAACGAATACCAAGAAAGTTGAGAAAGACCGATGATGAAAACTCTAAGATTGAGAACAGGTCTTGTCTTTGAGGAGTGAAGAAGGAAAAAAACACTTGATCAGAGGAACAGAGCAAGAGACTGTAGCAGCATTCCAGTAGGTAGTAAGTACAAGGAAGGGATAATTGCCCTTCTTGAAACCAGAAAAAGGAAGTTGGAATTGAGACATGATGAAAGGATTCTAGAATGACACTATTTGCACTGTGTTTCTGCTATTCTTAATTATTAACACAAAACCATCGTGGTTTTCTCAGCTGGTAAGTGAAAACTTTGTACACTACGTGTAAGTTTTACAGACACTGCATTAGTAAATGAACAAAAACTTGGAAGAGAATACACTGAAAAATAGAAGAAACTTAGAGATTCCTGAATAATCCAACCAATAGGATGAGATCCAACATATAAAACTATGCAACCATTGCACCATTCCTGTATATTAGTCTTATTTCTTTGAGTGCAGAAATAAAACTTTTAACAAAAGTGGCAATAGTTGGATTTGAAAAACATGATTTTGAGGATGTCTTGGAGTATTCTGAGGAACTGGAAGCTTTGTACTTCAGTTGCAAAGTCTCTAGTCCTCCATGGGCTACAGGTGGTCATCTGC